ATAGGTCTGCTTATCTGCAGATTTTCTTGGATAAACACAGTACTGTAAATGTATCTTTTATGATTTTCTTAACATTTTCTTTTCTCTAGCTTACTTTATTATAAGAATAGAGTATTTAATATAATAAGGCTTTTGGTTCACAGTCTCCTATTAGTAAAGTTCTGGGGGAGTTAAAAGTTATACATGGGTTTTTGACTATGTGGGGAGTTGACACCACTAACCCACTCGTTGTTCAAGAGTCAGATGTCCTTACAGAGTTCTTCAATCAGAAGCCAACTCCAGCATTGTTGTCTAAAGGCTGTCTTAATTTTAGGAGTCTAAGTCCTCTTCTCACTAACAGGACTCAGCTGGAAAGCTCAGGGGACACTGCTTCCCAAGTGAGACTCAGTTATGGCCTTCCCATGGCCAGAGCTTCCCAGGACTTAAGTGGGGCCAGAGGGCCACCAAGACTTCTCTGCCTGCCCAAAACACTGAGCTCCTTTCATGCACATATTTAGGCACCAAGTTCAGGAGGCCTTTGGAGATCATTTCTATGTGAGTTGGAAAGGTGTACAAATTTACCTTTAATATTTTTTTATTTCTGTGCGTGTTCAAGTATGCACTTATGCAAGCAGGGAAAGGCAGAGGAAGAGGGAGAGAATCTTTAGTGGACTCTGTGCTGAGCACAGAGACTGATGAGGGGCTCCATCCCTTGACCCTGAGATCATGACCTGAGCTGAAACCAAGAGCTGAATGCTCAACTAACTCAACCACTCAGGCACCCCTGAACAAATTCACCTTTAAGGCCTCTTCCAATTAAGTTATAAATGCTGGTTACTTCCTATAGTTGACCCTCCAGGTAACTATTTAATTCACATGTAGCTGAGGTTAACGGGAGTTAAGTTCTGGGCTTTGCAAATAGGGAGGGAGCAAAGCAACAGAGAGGGAGGAAGAAAAAGAAGAAAGCTGGTTTTTCTTCTATGGAAGAGTGAAGTGGAGGGCAGTGGGGAAGGACTTGAGAATCTGGGTTTAGGAAAGTAATTAAACAAGTCCCAAGGTCATAGTGATGTAACAGGACAGATTTCAGTAGAAGAAATGCTCCTCTTTCTCAAAGTCGCTTCCCCCTTTCCTCTTCTAAACCCAAAAGTTCCAAATTTGACATAAAGCTACCCTGGTTAAGATGGACAGAGAAACAGGACACAGAATACTCGTGCTTGTAGTCAAACACTGATGGTGGCCTACCCAACAACCATTCTCTCCTTTTAATTTCCATTCAGAAATCATGACTGGTCTAAGCTAATCATGACAGAGCTATTCCCCTTTGCCAGTGATTGACATGAGAGCCAGTTCTCACTGAAAAGCTGTAAAGAGATAGCTGCTGGGAGTTTTTAGGAAAATTTCCCTCCCTAAAAAGGGAATACACACTTGGAAAAATTCCTTTTGCATCTACTGATCTCTTGCGTCCTATTTTGTATCCTGCCATATGAAGAAACAGCACTGGGAAAGGTGGCATCTTTGTGCAGGCTACAAGGGAAGGCGGCACCAACACAGATGGTAGGGCACAAGATCCAAAGGAGCCAGGTCCTTGACCAGACAAATAACAGATGCCTTTATGGTACATTAGTGGAAGTCTTCCCTTACTTGCAGATGAAATGCACTTGGATACATGGCTATTTATACTCATAGGTTCACGCTACCTTATTTGCTTATTGTCAGGAACAACTTAATACTTTGCTTAGGGTGCTGAATTTAAAGGAAGGAAAATAATTATTGGGAATCTATGTACAGAAATAAATGCATCACTAAGAGAGGGAAATAAATTATTTATAAATATGTGCATATACGAAACTGTTAATCGTAACACTCTTTGTGAAGAAATTGGGGACATGGGGGGGTGAGGAACCATTATTTTTCATTTGATATTTTTCTATAAAGCTTGGATTTTCTTGCTGTTCTTTTTTTTTTAAACTGGGCAGTGGGATAATGGAGCGATTCCTATAATTTTCTGTATTGGAAATATTTAAAAAGGAAATGTTATTTCTGACATGTCTGGAGAATTGTTCCTTTCTCGTCCTCCAGAAAAGAAATCAGAGGATCTAATATTTAGAAATCCAGTGTCACTCTCTTGACATTCCCTCCAGTAATGATCATGCCTGACCAACGAGCCCATAGGTGGATTATCTCTCAAGTTAGTCGCTGCTGCCAGCTGACACTTAACCACATTTAGTTTAAGTGTCAACAAGATTATTTAGCCCATAGTTCACAGACATCAGTTTGACTTGTCGCACTTTTGCAAAAGAAATCCCAAGAGTCCTACCATTTAATTTAAAATTTATAAAAGAATTACACATTCCTGAGTAACTGGTTAATATAAACATTGACGCTGTACACTAGGAAGACAGTCAATGTATACAAAAGATAATAATTTCTCACTTAGCATATTTTAAAGATACATTTTTCAAATCAAAGTATACATAGCTATTGGTTACAGCCTAGTTATTTCGGCTTAGTCCTCTTATTCAATTGCCATTTCAAAGATGGAAACACTGAGGCAGAAGCTGACTAATTCAAGGTTCCAGAGGCAGATGGCAGTAGAGTCAAATCAGAGGTAGCAAGACTGAAAACAGGAAGAGCTGCCTGTACAGAGACCCTAAGGCTAGGCATAGTTTTCCCCAGAACACTGCTCAGAAAACCAGAAAATAGCCAGGGATTACCTCAGTTCTGTGGTTCTCTGCATTCAGCCCCTCATATAGAGATTTGTCAAAATAGATTTCACCAAGGATCTGCAGTTCATTTACACCTCTTGGTAACTGTAAGGTGGAGGGTAGATAAAAACATATTTTAGACACAGACTTACTGTTTTGAACAGTATCTTTTCTTTTATTTTTATTTATTTATTTATTTATTTTAAATTTTATTTATTTATTTGACAGAGATCACAAGTAGGCAGAGAGACAGGCAGAGAGAGAGGAAGGGAAGCAGGCTCCCTGCTGAGCAGAGAGCCCGATGCGGGGCTCGATCCCAGGACTCTGGGATCATGACCCGAGCCGAAGGCAGAGGCTTTAACCCACTGAGCCACCCAGGCGCCCCAGTATCTTTTCTTTTAAACGTGTTCCTTCTCCTGTATTCCCTTGTCTGGTTAGCTGTCTTGGCAATCACAAAGTTACCAAAGCAAGAAACCTACAATCATTCTCCAATTTCTTTTCCTATACACTTTACCTCATGTCACAGACTCACTCACCAGCCCCAATTCAGTTTTTGACAATTCTTTTTTTTTTTTTCTTTCCTCTCATCTGTCCCTTTTCTCCATTCTTCATTGCTACTCCTTCAGTTCAGATATCATCATTCTTACCTGGATCACTGTGAGAAGTTAAACTTCATCCTAATGCCCACTTTAGAATGAGTGACCAGGAAATTCCTCTCTAAGAAGGTAACATCGGAGCTAAATATAAGAAACCATGCACATGAAGATACAGGGGAAGAATAGTGGGAGAAGGGAGAGCAGAGGCAAAGATCCTGTGGCCAGAATAATATTGGAGAAACAGAAAGGACATAATAGCTGGAGTATACGAAGTGGGAAAGAGCCGAGTACTAGGAGATAAAGTTGAAGAAGCATAGACTAGATCATGTAGTGCCTTGCAGGCCATTGAAAATGTATGTGTTTTACTCAGGGTGCATTCAAATGTCACTTTTTTCTTTTCAGAGGCATGGCACAATGTTTAAGATAGCTGTTATGTGAAGAAAGATTTGTAGACGGCATGGCAAGAGCAGAGACAGGAGGAAAAGACAGCTTACTGAAACGGCCTGGGCAAGAGATGGTGTCCTGAACTACAACAGTAGCAGTGGAGATGGAAAGAAGTGAATGGATTTATAACATATTTTGGAGGTGGAATGATGGAGCTTGGGGCTGGAATAGATGTGGGGATGTAGGAAAGGAAGAAGTCACAAGTATCTCCTATGTTAAGTAACTACAGTCACTTACCCTAGTATATTACTCCAAGTAACTGTGTAAAGAACAGATTGGGGCAAAAGGTGAATCAAGGGGCGCCTGGGTGGCTCAGTGGGTTAAAGCCTCTGCCTTCGGCTCAGGTCATGATCCCAGGGTCCTGGGACCGAGCCCCGCATCGGGCTCTCTGCTCAGCGGGGAGCCTGCTTCCTCCTCTCTCTCTGCCTGTCTCTCTACCTACTTGTGATCTCTATCTGTCAAATGAGTAAATAAAAAAATCTTTAAAAAAAAAAAGGTGAATCAAGACACCTGTTTTGGACACGTTACATTTGAGATGCTATTAACTTTTCTAGGACAGGGAGCCGATGCACATGAGCAGCAGAACAATCAAATCTGAAGCATTCACCAACTCAAGTACCTGCTGAGACTGATTCAAGGAGAGCTCTGCAGCCACCGTTACATTTTCTTTATTTGAAGTGATGGTGCAGTTCACTGAATACCATTGGTCCACATACTGAAAAGGAAACTGATTACAGTTAGCACTATCCCCTTTTGAGTGAAAAGGCAGAAAACTTAACAGTACGCAGAGCACGTTCAAGTTCCAGAATAGAGGGTGCGAACAGGTTCAGCGCTCACCTTGGCTCAAGCAAAGCCGCAACCGTGGCTGACCTGACCCAGAGAAGAGGCTAAGGAGAGCCTGGAGGCCACCCTGCATTCGCTTTCAGCAGTGAACGCCAGCAGCAGCCGCAGCCCCGCGCCGCTCACGTCACCCGCTCCAAGCCCTCCTCCCTCCCTAAGCCCTCGGGACGGCCGCGCTCACCCAAACGGGGTCTTTCCCACATTCTTTCTCCAGACTGTAGTTGCACTTAGTGTTGGCCTGAAACGAGAGCCATGACAGTACGGATAAGAAGACGCCAAACTGCCAGTCACCCACCCTCTCCTACCTCCCGCGGGACCCTTTGTGATGCGCATGCCTACGGCCGGACGCTAGGACCCAGCAGTCAGGCCCGCCCGTGTGTCTGTCTTAAGGAAATCTCGCGGTGTTTCCATTTGAATCTCCGGGCGGGTGCCGACCATGGCGGCGTCACGCCAGCGACTCGGGAATCGCCTCTTCCGAACGTATGGGGCTGTGGGCGGCGGGAGGCCGCGGCGGCGGCCGGACCGGGCAGTCGCGCAGTGGTTCCCGCCGCAAGACCGGAAGCGTTTTTTCAGCAGCAGCAGCAGTAGTAGCAGCGACGCTGGCAGCGGCGGCCCCTCGGGGTCTATCGCTTCCGACGATCCCGACGACCCTGACTTCCTCGGCGCTCCGGTAGGTCAGCGGCGGAGGCGCCCTGGAGGTCAAGCCTCCAAGGACTGGCCGAGTCTGATCGAGACTCCACGACGCCTGAGGCTGCGAGCTCGGCCTCCGCAAAAGTGCAGCACCCCCTGCGGCCCGCTTGGACCGCCGCCCTTCCCTAACGGCAACCCAGGCCGCCTCAGCCCGGACCTCAGTACGTGCAACCAGCCCGGGGACGGCGGCGAGCTGGGCACCAGTGCCTCCCTGTTCAGCAGTCTGGCCTCTCCCGGCCCCGGCCCCTCCGCCTCTCTGGATGCGGCCTCCGAAGTTCCGAGCGGCTTCCACCTCCCAACAGCCTCCCGGGACCCAACATCCCTCCATGGCTTCCAGGAGGCAGCAACGGGAGGAAGCAGGTTCACCAGACTGGCCCACCAAGCCCATGCCAGCCTCAGGTCAGCTCTCTTTAGTCTTATGGATTTTGGAAACCCTGAAGATTCTGAGTTTGGGGCAGATGGGAAGAATATGAGGGAGTCTTGCTGTGAAAGGGAATGGGCTGGGAAGAGGTTGGAGAGGCCAGGTTTATCAAGCATTGGTAAGAAGAGGGCCACAGACCAGGACTCCTGTCAAGAGATTGGGTCTCAAGGGGCTGCCCAGATGGACCAGGAGGCAGATGGTTGCAAGAGCTGTATTGTACCTGGGGAAATCAACAGGTTTGAGAGAACTGGGCCTAGGCGAAAAAGGAAACTTCAGGAAACAGTAGAAACCTCCCTTCTCCATTATCACCAGTTTAAGAGGAACCAAAAGATGGAAAAAGACTCATTCCTCACCCAGGACCTGACTCATTTACAGAACGCCTGCTCTTGGACCAAAGCCAGGGCTTCCTTCAGTTTCCACAAGAAGAAGATGGTGACTGCTGTGTCAGAAGTTTGCAGCAGCCACACCATTGCCAGTTCTCTCTCTGAGTCCCTCATATCCGAATATTCAAACCCTCCTGTTATGAACAGAACAAATAGTGCTCTGTCTCCTTGGCACTGCTCTTCCATGTATTTGCTAACCCCCTTAAAGACACTACATGTCACAGACAAAAAGGCATGTGATGCTGAGAAAGTTTATGGGGAATGCAATCAGGAAGGTCCTATCCCCTTTAGCTATTGCCTTTCCACAGAAAAATTGGAGTGCTGTCAGAAGATTGGCGAAGGAGTGTTTGGAGAAGTGTTTCAAACAGTTGCTAATAACACACCTGTTGCCCTAAAAATCATTGCTATTGAAGGACAAGATTTAGTCAATGGAGCCCATCAAAAAACTTTTGAGGAAATTCTGCCAGAGATAATCATCTCCAAAGAGTTGAGCCTCTTGTCTGATGAGGTATGCAACCGTACGGAAGGCTTTATTGGTTTGAACTCAGTGCACTGTGTTCAAGGATCTTATCCTCCCTTGCTTCTCACAGCCTGGGACCATTATAACTCAACTAAAGGGTCTGCAAATGACCGGCCTGACTTTTTTGAGGAAGACCAGCTCTTCATTGTACTGGAATTTGAGTTTGGAGGTACTGACTTAGAGCAAATGAGAACGAAGTTGTCCTCCATGGCTACTGCAAAGAGCATCCTACACCAGATCACAGCATCCCTCGCGGTGGCAGAGGCATCACTGCACTTTGAGCACCGAGACTTACATTGGGGGAACGTGCTCTTAAAGAAAACCAGCCTCAAAGAGCTCCACTACACCCTCAATGGGAAGACAAGCACTATCCCCACCCGTGGAGTGCAAGTCAATATCATTGACTACACACTGTCACGGTTGGAGCGGGATGGGATTGTGGTGTTCTGTGACATTTCCATGGATGAGGACCTATTTACAGGTGAAGGTGACTACCAGTTTGAGATCTATAGGCTAATGAGGAAGGAAAACAACAACTGCTGGGGTGAATATCACCCTTACAATAATGTGCTCTGGCTCCATTACCTAACAGATAAGATTCTGAAACAGATGACCTTCAAGATTAAATGTAACACCCCTGCCATGAAACAAATGAAGAGAAAGATCCAGCATTTTTATAGGACAATGCTGAACTTCAGTTCTGCCACTGACTTGCTTTGCCAGCACAGTCTATTTAAATAAGCCAGAGATGCCTTACTGGCCCAAACTGAGAGGACAATGGTCTTACAGCCCCTGATGCTATTTTCAATCTCCATTCCCAGAGCAGGGTGGAATTCCCATTCTAAATGTTTCTAGAAATTAACAAATGTTCTTTAAAAATAAACTATACCTGGGAACAAATGATTATAATTTATAAGCCCTCTTTCTGTCAACAGACTCCATTCTGTAAATGCCTTTCCATATATTCATTTTTGAACCTAGACATTTCATAAACCCTGAGCAAAAAAAATTCAGAAAAGCCAAAGGCCTCAACTTTCATAGTGATCAGAGCCTGTGGCTGTGGGTATCATAAGGGAAGTCAACTGAGAGCAAAGGGGCTGTAGCAAAGCAAAGACAGGGACAGACTGGAGGGAGGAAAGATGGTAAATTTATAGGGAGAAGGGCAAGAAATACCTGTTTATCAAACTTATTTGTCAATTACAAAGAAGCAGAATTTATCAGTTTTTCAAAGGGAAAATAAATATATAAATGGGTATTAAAAAGGTTTGAATTTTTGCTTATTTTTCATCAAGGGAAGGAAAACTGAAATGTTTTAAGAACTGAATGGTTGCTATTTCTTGTGAACATGACTGATAATTTACTCCTAATGTGTTCCTAAGTTAACTAAACTTGTTTTTACTCCTTTCCTAGAATTCTAGTTTTATACCTTTAAGAATCCACAGTCATTCTGGAAAGAGAGGTGATTGTGATAAAAAACAAAAGAAAAAAAACTTCTAAGTACCTGAATCTTCGTCAGGTTTTTCACTCTTATAAACTGGAGACCTTGTAATTTGATTGGAACACAAATTTGCAGCTGGAATACAGCTCTGAAGAGATTTTCCCCATGTATCTACAAAATAGAATCAGAGAATGGGAAATCAAAACTGGTGTTGTTTTGCCACCTGTAACTTTGCAATAATAAGCATTAAGCACTTACATTGAAGAGGAATTCTTTATAGACAGAAAGCCCCTGGCTTGTGTTCATGTACATCACTGAAGGTCTGCAAATGAGAGGATATTTGTTAGGCCTCAAGGCCCCTTCCTTTCAAATGAGCTTGAATGCTACCAGTCGGATACACTAGGACAGAGGGCACCATATCCTTAAGAAGAATCAAAGCTGAATATCAAAATGTAAAGTGGTGGTAGGGCGGTTCAGGTAGAAATATTTGAATTCTGTATATTTGGGCTGGTTCTGTGTCTAATTGTTAATCCTTGGTGGCCTTCTCGCCTTCCTTCTTTCCCAGTCCCACAGCGCCTCTCTTCCCTCCTTAGTATTACATCAGTAATCTTTAATATTAAGACCAGTTGGTACTGCTCCTCCCTTGATTACTACCATGGGGTTTCTAGGGCCAAACTTCATCCCTTAGCGATCAGTGGGAGCCTGGATTTTAAGCAGCCTCCTGTCCGAGATGGGGAATGCTAACATCCACCCTGACCACCTGAAGCTGCAGGTGTTGGCCCCTTGGAAGTACTTACTTCGGAAGAACTGCGATGAAGGCATGCTTGAATTGAAGGCTGTGGCTCTGTTTGACTGAAGAATTTCTGTCATTGAAACTAGGAAATAAGAGCGTCAGTTCACAGCTCACCCACTTTGTACACAGCTGCTTATATACCTTGGCTTCTCGGGTCAGGGAGAGTCAGATAAGAAAAGATGCTTGAAGATAAGTAATTAAAGTGCAGAAGACTTGCTAGAAGACCATAGTTGCAGAAACATTGGTTTAAAAAGGGTTTCTCAACCTTGACAATAATGACATTTTGGGCCAAATAATTTTTCGTGAGAGACCATCTTGTATACTGTATGATGTTTAGCAGCATCCCTGGCCTCTATCCACTAGATACCAGAAGCATTCCCGCACCCCACAAGTTGTGGCAACCAAAAATGTTTTCAGGCATTGCCCCTGATGGACAGAATCATCCCTGTTTGAGAAACCTTTCCCACCACTATACCCATACCCTACCCCCAAAACAGAAGTTTCACAGATGATGGGGCTTCTCCAAGTGAAATGACAGGAATAGAACCTCTGTCCAAGTCTCATTTACTAGATTATACCATAGTTTTGCTTTGTGTGTCAATAAAAGGACATTTTAAACAACTCTGATAACAAGAAGTGAAAACCAAGTCACTGCAGCAGCACAGATTCCTTCTGTGGGTTCACTGAGGCTCTTCCTGAGCAGTGACAGAGCCACAGCCCTTACACATGCACATGGGAGGGAGACTTTTTCCAGGGCCACAGCCTGGGCCTGCAGGGACATAGGGCCCACTTACTTGGTGACTGTCACAGTGATATCGGCTGTCCGGTTTGGAAAGGCATTCTCCTCTAGCTGCCAAACTACTGAAAAGTTTGCCTATTTAAAAAAAGGAAAAAAGGTCACTTGATTCCTCTCTACCATTCACAATTCAAACTGCTTCCTACTAACTAAACTGACCTGGGAAAGAATTCATATGCCTCACATTTTTTAGCACAGCATGCCTCCACATCTATTATTCCACATAAGCATCACAATGTCAATACGGAGTAAGCAGGGCAGACAGCATTATTCCTCTTTCACAGTTGAGGAAACCATTTCAGAGCACAGCACAAAGATCATCAGTGGCAGATGAGGGACTCACTCACCACTCGTACCTTTGGGCCTGCTGCTCTTCCCATACTACTCCCAACTTCACTCTGCTGTATGGGGCTGAGTCAACAGTTTGTGGCTGTATCCCCCAGCCCACCACTCCTTACTTTGAAAGCAAACTTGGCAGCTCTATGCTCTGCAGTGGATTGATTGCAATAAAGGGAAATGTGGAGACCACTGCTAAGATTCAAATGGCACTGGGATGTAGGAGACACCACCTCCAAGGCAGTGAGAAGAGTCAGCCAACCCAAACACTCACAGATGACCTCTTGAGTACAGGGTGACCAATCTTGCAGTTCATGGCCAACTCAGAAGCATTTGGCTTAGGGTCATCACAGTGAATGTCTGGAGAAGGAGGCTGTTAACACAGAGAAGACACTGTTCTTAAAGAGCAAGAAAAGAAGCAGTTTCCTGATACCAATTCAACAAACATTCACTGATTTTCTACATGCCAGACATCTGCCAGGAGCCTTGGGACACTAATCAGACTTGGTCTCTGTCTTCCTCCCAAGCTGGGCAGAAGGGATCAATAGGTTGTTGAGGAATTTAAATACAAGGCTCAAGTGGTTCCGTGGAAGGTACAAGGAAAGACAGTATTGCAAGAGGTAAAATCCAACTAGGAGGAATCTGTAAAATCTTCAGGGGTAGGAGACATTTGAGCTGGGCAAACCTATCATACTGGGATGGGCTGGAAGGCTAGCATGAGCCCCCACACTGCCACACAGCCTTTCTCAACCAGGGCTCTTCACCTGGACCACTGAATACAGAAGGTGATTTCAGTGACACTTTTCTTAATTCTCCCAAGGATAGTGCAGCACTTATTCCACTTAAGAAGCTTATGAGATAATTTCATTATTTTCATATAATAGATGCTGTCCTAGCCCAAATAGCCTAAGACCCTAGGGACAAATCTGTAACCTGACAAAGCCAGGTTTACTGACTCCTTACCATGAGAAAACTGCACTGTGGTGTCTCACCAAACAAAAGCCAAGACAGTTATTAAGGGATGGTGGGGAAGAGTGGAGTTCAGGTAATGTAGAAGTAAAGCAGAGTTTTGGTGGGCTCTAAGTAAAGCAGGGTTGTGTATCAAAGGGTCCATCAACATCAGGTCTGGACCCAGGGATCCATTCCTTTGGAAACTCTTAGGGAGTTGTAAAGTTGTGTCCAGAAATGCTGTATCTGAAACTCTGTACCCCAGATGGAAAATAAGACTGCTTCTTTTCAAAGTGACTTATATTCTCTAGCCAAGTGAAATGGTTTCATAATTATAGATAGAACTTTAAGCAGCAAAGTTTTCTGATTGCCTATGATTTTCAAGAAGATTTCTCAGTGTTACAGTACTTCACAGTGTTACAGTACTTTGCAGCTGCAGGATGTCCTTGGGAGAAACACTATTTCCTGTTTTCTTGCAGCCAGCTTCCAGGCTGTGACCCCAGGCTCAGGAGTGAAAAAGGCAGATTCTTACTTTCCCAGTGCAGGCTCATGTGTTAGAGATTTTTTTCCCCTCTCAGAACCCTGGTTAAGAAAGGCTGCAGGCAAGAAAGTGACTGCAGAACAGCCACACTGAAGGTTCTGGAGGCAGACAACAGCGTGATTGGACTCACAGCACAGGGTGTAGTGGTTTGGAGGGGATTCGTCTCATTAATAATTATTTATTGCATGGATCAGGATGAGATTGGAGGCAGGGAGACCAGTTAGGAGGTTTTCCATAAAAAAGCTGGCATACAGGGAGGGAAAGCCATGTGTGGCATATTTCACTGTTACCTTTTGTATCCTCTTAAACTGGAGGTTTCTGGGGTAATTCAAATTCATGGTCGTCATGTAGGAATCTTCCCCAGAGTTAGTTAGGTTAATGTTCATAGTCAGCTCCTTTGTGAGACCAACCACCAATTCTTGCCTGCACCGGGTAGGCAAATAGAAACAAGTTACCAGTTTATTTAATCTTTAAGAATGACAAGCATTGCCTAAAGGATACATTTAGCCTAGATTTTCTTCCGCTCAACATAAGCAAATGCCTGGACCGCCACACCCACCTCAGTTGGCGTGTGAGATGAGGATAATGGCTACCATGTTGATTACTATGTGGCAGGGACTGTGCTAAATGCTTCACAATTAATCCTCACAATAACCCTATAAAATAGTATGGTTACTTTCCATTTCATAGAAAAGGACAGAAGCCAAGAGAGTCTAACTAATTTGCCTCAGGTCAAGCATTCTCAAAAGAGGGTTGGGAAAATTATATTTAAATCCTCTTTCTACTACCAAATCACTGCAACCCTAGGCAAGATACTTCATTCTCCCAAGTTCATACATTTCACATATAGTTATGGAGTACTTTCTCTGTGCCAGATATTCTGCTCAATACCAGAGATTGAGCTGCTTGAAGTGTCTGAGATGGATACTGTCCCTGCCTCTTTCTTGGCCTCAGTTTCCCATTTGCAAACTCATTCAGGCCCTTCCAGTTTAAAGAC